TATCTCTCCTTCAACTTTAAGTGATAACCGTGCTGGGTAGAGCAATCTTGGTTGTAGGCCTTTATTTTGTGTCACTTTGAATATTTCCTGCCACTCCCTTCTGGCCTGCAGAGTTTGTGTGGAAAAGTCAGCTGTTAGTCTTATTGGAGTTCCTTTGTATGCAACCTGCTGTCTTTCTCTTGCTGCTTTTAGGATCCTGTCTTTGTCTTTAGCCTTTGCCATTTTTACTATGATGTGTCTTGTTGTGGACCTGTTTGGGTTCAGCTTATTTGGAACTCTCTGCACTTCCTGGGCTTGTGTGTCAATTTCCTTCACCAGGGTAGGGAAGTTCTCAATCATTATTTCTTCAAATACATTCTTGATCCCTTGCTTCTTCTCTTCTCCTTCTGGTATTCCTATGATGTGAATGTTGTTGTGCTTGATGTTGTCCCATAGGCCTCTTAAACTATTTTCATTGTTTTTTATTCTTTTTTCTTGTTCCAACTGGGTGGTTTCTGCTATTTTGTCTTCTGAATCACTGATCCGATCCTCTGCTTCATCTAATTTACAGGTGATTCCTTCGAGTGTGTTTTTCATTTCAGTTATTGTATTCTTTAGTTCTACCTGGTTGTTTTTTATGATTTCTGTATCCTTCTTTATGTCCTCCTTAAGTTCCTTAAACAGTCTTATCATCAGTGTTCTAAACTCTGTCTCTGAAAGGTTGGATACCTCTGTTTCATTTAGTTCCATTTATTGGGGTTTCTTCTGATCTTTTACTTGGGACATGTTTCTTTTTTTCTTTATTCTGGCTGTCACTCTGATTGCTTTGATGTATTAGATCACCAGTCTTGATGTGGCCTCCTCTTTAAGTCCTTCGTTTAGAGGTGCTGCTCATCTAGGGTCCAGGGAACTTCTGAGGTTGAATATCTTATAAATTATTTGTAATTTTGGTGTGATCCTGGGAGGCAGTCGGCACAGCGTCTGTCTATTCTGCCATCTTACCAGAAGTCCATCTCACATTGTCCTTTTACTATTTAGAATGCTTATGCCTTTCCGTATAGGCATACCTGCCTCCACACACTTTCACTGTCTTCCAAGGCTCATGAGCATCTCTTCTTCCCAGTGTGGGCTCAGTGGGTTTTCTCCATGTCTGTTTCCTTATATCCTGTGCATAAATCTCTGATGAGGTTATTTTTGTCTTATATTTATTTATCAAGCCACTTGGCTTTCAGTTTGAGGGCATGGGTTTCGAGTTTATGGGATCAATAGTGTTAATCATAAATTGAGTTCTGAGATAGTTTCCAGGGGAAAAAAATTGTCCAGTACTAAGTAAGGTCTGTATGGCAAGATGGATTCCTGAAATGAGAAGCCCTTTGGAGAGGATGGTGTCCCTGTGGATGGGTTGACCATGGAGACTGTGGGTCTAAACTCCTGGTCCTGTCTTCACGTATATTGTCTCTACCCATATGGGTAGATAGAAACTTCAGGCAAGTGAACCCAAGACAGTGCAGCTCCATGGATGTCCCCATAGACCCGTTTTATCACTGTAGGGGACTGCTTTCTGTGTCCTGAAAAACTGAGCTGAGCAGGCCTTCCTCTCCTGGCCCCTCTTCCTGGCTTGTTCTCTGAATCAATAGAAGTATGATGGGGCAGGGTCAGAGGCCTTTCTCTCCTTTTAACTCCTGTTGTTGGTTCATCCTTAAATAGTCTTAGGTTTTAAAGGAAAATTTTAAAAAATGTTAGTGATGGTTTGAAATTCAGCCCAAGTCTTGTCCATAGCTCTCTGGACAGAAGTGGAGTAATCTCCCTATTCCCTCTTTTCTGGTCTAAGTCGCAACTAGCCATTTATATCTAAACATTGCTAGATTTATTTTATAGTTAGCCTTAACTATCTCGAGCATCAAATAAATTTAAAACAAAATTCCTAATACTGGGGCAACATTTGCTTTAGGTGCAGGAGAGAATTGGAATGCCAAATAATGTATCCTAACGGTTTTCATAAGTTTATTCAAAATTTTCTAATTCAAACAGCACCACCTTTGTTGGTAATATAAACCATAAATATACAAAATCCCAGTGAATCTCCCAAAATAAAACCTGTAAGGAAAACCCTTTAATCACACACAATCTATCATTAAATTTTACTGTTAAGAGAAAACCGCCCTCTCCCCGCCCCCCCATAAGAACACGGTAAAGTAGCCCCAAGAATGAGGCTTGGGACGGAGAGTATATTTCAATTTGCTCATCTGGAATTAGTTAAACGCAGTGTGCTTAGATGGCTAAATAAAAGAAGAAAAGTATACTGTAATGTAGTTAATATCTTCACAATCCTTTGAAGATTAGGGATAAGTTCAAAAAGATCTCTATTTTGTTTGGTTTTGGTTTAAAACAATTCAGAAAAATCTCTTTGCTTCCTGTCCTCCAGGCTGTCCCTAAACCATAGAAATTTCACTCGTGTAGAATTCAGGATATAACAGGCTCATGTAGTAAAACGCTAGCTGGTGATTTAAATCGTGGTGGCCAACCACAACACAGCCCCCAGATGAGATAGCCTTTGCATCAGGCGTTCCCAGAGTCGGCTGCTACGATGATTTCAGACTCGCTGCCTGCATAATCCCTAAGAACCAGCCACATCCATTTTCCCTAGAGGTGAGCCTGGCCCTCCCCGGTCGGCAGAGGCCTGAGCACTGGGCCTGCTCTCCAGAGTTCCAGTCAAAGGAAGACGGCTGGGTGCTCCATGGCTCAGAGCAAATCAAGGGTTTGATCATTTGAGACCCAAACCACTAACTGGACCTACATTGTTATGAGAGGAAATGCTTAGAATAAGGAGACTGAGTTTTTAAATCAAATGTTAAGAGCATATTGAAGACAAATGAATATTGTTTCCACAGCAATCTACAGTCTGTGGATTTCAGATATTTTATCTACAACTTGCAGCAAAAAAAAAAAAAATGCATTTTATGTCACTACCCGGTACACATGCGCAGACCTATAACTGAAAGAAAAATGTCACGGAACAATACTGTGTGTGTTATCCTTGGATAGTCTCTATTTTATATTTTTAATTCAGAAACTGCTCGTTAATACCCAGTAAACTCATCTCATTGCTCTCTGATTGGTCACTTCTCACAGTCTGGAAAGACACGGCTTTGCGTGGCTATAAATACTGCTTCGCAGCCGCTCTTGCTTTTAAGTTCTTTTGGAATTACATTTGAGGTTAGTCCGTGAATCACAGAAAATGTCATAGAAAAGCATTTTTTTAACTAAAGGTAATTTGATTTAGCCTGCGTTCCCCTTTTATTTACCAGATGTGGCTCTAAATGATGTGAGTCCAATCAAAGAACAAAATCACTGTGGCTATTTGTGTTCAGAAGAACGTGAGGACTGGAATGGTCAACTTGAAAGTGAAAGGAGGCTTAAGAGGCAGCTCAGATTAGCCTGCTTGTCGTGCAGAGACCCCAGGAACAACTAGCTGTAATTAAGAATGAATTAAGATAATTTATGTAGCCATGCGTTAATAATAGAGTATATTAAAGTACTGTCGTGACCAGTCTGGTGCTGTGAGTCGATGCTCCTGGCTGTGATGCTGAGGGAGACCGTGCTCGAGGGACCTGTAACTTCCAGGCACCATTGAAGAAGTCGTGGTGCCTGTGTCCCTGTGACCTTCTGGGCTTTGGTTGCTAGGGAAATTCTGAGAGATATGAACATGGCCGTATCAGCCCGGGCCTCATAGGAGTATATGTTATAATAAATTAAAAAGACCTATTTAGGAAGAGAGCTGGTTAACACCCAGGAAGCTGGGGAAGAAGATTGGGAAGGTGCTGGCCTGTGTTGTGCTTGGCCTTGAGTCTGAGCTTTCGCCGTTCTGCCCGGCCATGGTAGAAGACACTTCATTCTCAGATCCAAGCTGTCAGTTGCCCAGGAAAGTGAGAGAATGTAACTGTGTTTAATATTTGTAGTCACAACTTTTTTCCCTCTAATATACTGAAACTACAGAAATAATCACATTTGTTTTTGCGAGCTATTCCCTTTGCACCCATCTGGCATATTCTGTGAAACAGACAAACTGCACAAGCCTCCAACAAGGGCACCAAGCTTAAGCACTGCAGTTTATCACACAAAGTAAATTCTAATACAATTAAGGAGTCTGATGTTTTTAAACTGAAGCAGGATCGGCAAATTATAGCTTGTGGGCCAAATATGGCACACTGTCTGTTTTTGTAAATAAAATCTTAGTGGAACACAGCCATGCCTATTCATTCATGTATTTATGTCTGCTTTTACATTATAGTGACCGAGTTAAGTGGTGGCTATAGCGACTGTGTGACCCACACAGCCTAAAAAATATTTACTATTTGACCCATTACAGAAAACAATTTAATGATTCTTGGAATAAAGGAATATTTAGAAATAAAGTAGTGTTCTTAAAAAAAATTGTCACTTTTGAATCAAGACTATTTTCTCTTAAATTGTATGAAAAAATTTTTCTATGATAATATATGATAATTTTTAAAACTAGGTTTTAAGGAAGGAAGTACCTAGAGTCTATTGGGTGATTGTTGTCTACCTTTTTTTCAAGTTAAGGATTATTAAAACTCAGTGTACATTAAATAATGCTGAGAAGAAATCTAAGGCATATATAAAAGAATACAGTGTGGCATTCTTATAATTTCACTACAGTGATGATTGGCTGTATGATTTTACCTGGCATTGCTTATTTTGATAATCTTTATAACGATTGTGAATTTTAATAAAATTTTACATTTGTAAAGATGAATCTATTTGAGATTTTACTGAGTATAGATCAGTAAGGCTAAGCTAGTAGTCATTTGCAGAGGCTTCTTAGGTCTCATGCTTAATAGATGTAGTTCAGTGTCTTAAAAATGAGCATGTATGTAATCATACAATTTCTCTATCACAGAATTTAAGCAATGAAACACGGGGCTGCAGAGCTTTCTATCAGGGCAGCAGTTTAAGTATGAGCTACCTAATGTGTGGTTATCTTTTTATTTTTTTAACAGACTCGTGGAAGAAAGCAAACTGATCCCACTCATTTTTGAAGTAATTCCGGTAAGAAAGGAAATATCCATCTGAAATTCTGGTGAAATTAAAAAAAAGTTTTAAAGTGTCCACCTTGTTGTATGGTTGGGTTCTAACCCTAACACTGCCCAGACAGCTTTGTGTTTTCTTCATCATCTTGCTTAAGCTTAATGGGCCTCAGTTTCCTGTCTGAGCTCTGTCCAGCTCTGAAATTGCACAGGGACACTGCTTAATGACCTGCTCACTTTTCACACACCCTTTGCATTTCATTTCTCTTGACTCAAACCATATGTTATCTAAAATAGAAAGAATACTTCATCCGAGGTCGGCTTGTGGAAGGAGGGCAGGTTGGTGATGGCTGTGCCTCAGTGTGAGCTCTCTGATGTTCCGTGGGGAGCCTCTGACTTTGTAGTCACTGGGTCAGATCAGCAGTTTTATGCCTATGGGCAGAAAGTTGTCTTCTTCATAATGTAGAATAGCTGGGCTTCTATACACCATTTATTCACAGAACGCAACTTAATTGGAAACCATCTGTTAAAGAAAACCTTTCATCGTTTGTTCCTGTGTGTAGGGAACAGAATGGGATGCAGAGGTGACTTGTCTTACTTCTGATAAATCCCTGTTTAAACTAAATACAGATTGGAAAGCTCGGCTGAAAATTGAGCTGGTGCTTATAGCAAGGGAGTACCCTTAACCAAAGAAATGTTCTTTTGTACTTGGGTGGGTTATCTCTCCCTTTGCCCAAAACTTCCCCTCCATAGCTAATTGACAGCACAAGGGACACAGGAGGGGAACAGACAAGCCAGCTCCGCTTAACCTGCCTTGGCTGTCCATGGAGCAATGACTGATAGTCTGATAACTCTGCACATGGAAGATTAGCTTTCTTTAATCATCCTGCAAAAGTAACGTACACGTTGTTTGTAGGTTGCCACGGCTCTATGCGGAAACGTTATTTTTGTTAGCTTCACATCACCCTTTCCCTTTTAGGGGAGCTGGTTGGGTTTGCTGAGCTACTTAAATTAGGTAGGGAGAAGGAATGGGAGTGGGTTAGAGCCTGGATTGAATTGCTTCAAATAGTAAAAGGGGATTTCAGAGGCAGAATTAGAAGAAATAGAGAAAAAGGAGGTGAAGAAACATGGTGTCGAAAGCTATTTAATGGGAATTTTAAACCTTTGCCAAGTGTTCCTGCAGTAGGGTGTTACTTGTAACTTGTTGTGGACTTGGATTTGTTTTGGAGAGCAATGGGTGCGGTCAACTGCTGGGTTTGGCCACATGGTTGGGCATGGACCAAGAGTCAGTGCTGTCCAAAGTCAGTTGCAACTGGCTTGCATTTGAAAAGGGACCCGTGTTGCAGACACGGAGAGCACTCGAGCTAGAAGGGCCCTAATGGGTGGACGGGACTCATCCCTTGCTGTGGCAGGAGGGCCTCTAACCTGTTAAGGTCACTACAGTGCCTTTGGTGACTGATAAAGTGTTCTCAGCCTATCCTTTGGCAATCATCTCAAGGTCTAAACCTCCACACATAGAAAATTCCTTCATGCAGGTTACCACAACCCCTCCATACTTGATTTATGTTTGTCTAATGAGCACCTAGCAAGGCTTCATATTTTGCAAACCACAGTAAACATTTAATTGATTAAGGTCACAATTTCAACTCTTGTCATGGTGATGTAGCTGTTGTGGGGAGTGGGTAGAAGGTGCCATCTGCTCTCCAGGTCAGGACTTCAGCTGGTCCTGAGCTCTGTGACCTTGCAGGTGTGCGTGGGGTCATGTTCTTCCTTCAACCAGAATAGCTCCATTCTTAGGTTTCTTGTAGGATAGGTCCTGCTGCTACAAAAGTAAAGGAAAAAACAGTTGGACATGAGTGCTTTTTGGACCAGGATATTGATGTTCTTGAAGAATATTAAATCCCTATTCTACGTTTACCTTTCTTGAGTTGAAGTAATCTCAGTTTTTTTCTCTGTATAAATGCATATTTTAGTCAACGAACTATCTTTGTAGCAGTTGTCCTGAGAACTATTTCCTTGTCCTTTCTAAATTTTTGTCACCGACCTACACATAAGATAGTATTTTATTGATTTTATGATGTACATTTTTTTTAGATTTTAATGTTTCTGAAACTGGGATGTACTTTCCAAGTCAATGGCTTTTTGCAATTGCTTTCGGCCGGGCGACCTGGTTGTCATTGCCTTAACCAATTTTTCTTTTGTTTTTCTTTTTATAAGTACCCAAGGGTGATATATTATAAGGATATATAAATCTGAATAAGTCTAAAAGAGCTCGTTCAATAAAAATAAAATGAAAGTTCTAAGTAATAAGAAACTATGTCCTAGTTTATGGGCAGCACTTTCCTTAGTGCTTGATAAAATAATAGTGCATCTTAGAACTGCTGGATTCGTAGTTTCAGGAAACACAGTTTATCCTTCAGTTAGGTTTGGTTTCAAAGTTCAAGGGCCTATGTGGGGTCTAGTGTTTGAGTAGCTGCTCCTGGCAATGATTTGGTCAGGAGAGACATGAGAAAATTGAACACGGCCCTGTGTGCTTGGCTACTGCGTGTGTCTTCCAGCCACCCACTAAGAAAACCAAACAATTTGACTCATTCAGCTGGTGGTCCACTGTGACCTCTTGATTACTTTTTCCTTACTCTTAGCCTGTAACTGTTCTCCAGCTTGTGTTTGCTGCACTGAAAGCCTGATTACAGGCTGTATAACTCCCTTCTGCTTTCCTAGAGTTTCTCGTAAGATGTGCTGTTACCAGCCATGCCTCCTCTACTAGATGTTTTTCATTAAGAAAGCAAACGCTTCTCTCCTGATGGGCAGGAATTGCAGGTAGCTTCTGTGTCTTTCCCCGAGGCCTGGAGGAAAGTGAAGATGAAGAGAGCAGAATTTCGAATTTGATGTCCCATGTGCACAAAACAGCCATGTACAAATTTTAAGGAAAGATTTCTGTGGTTGTGTGCTGGCTCCACAAGCTCCAGGTGTGGATCAAACTGGTTAGATATAGAACCAATTAAGAGTCGTTTTTATTGTTTAAAAAAAAAAAAAAGAAAACAATCCCCAATTGTAACTGCCAACTCAGGTGGCACAGTGCTCCCTCCTGTCCAGGTGCCTAATATTTGAGCTCCCAGGATTCACGGTGCGGAGAGAGCCATGTGTGGGCACATAATGGGTGAGAGCTTAATGGAGGGAGGTAGGGACCGCTGTGAATTCCAGGGTTTGGGGGTTGGCGGGAGTGAGTGATTGCTCAGTGTGGGGAAAGGAGTCTCCCAGAAGTAGTAGCCTTTGAACGTGGCCTTGAGGGCCTTGTCATGAGGAGAGGAGGAGTCCAGTTTGCGGGGTGGTGAGTTCTAGAGCTGTGCCTGGACCAGAGACCTTGGAGAAGTGTAGGGAGTGGGCCTGAAGGGCAGTTTGGGACCAGATCTTGCAAGGCTTTATGCTCTAATTGTTTCATATTTGTTTGGCTTTGCTAATAACTTATGCTCTATAAAATCAGGTGGTATCCTGCACTTAAAAAAAAAATTTTAGAGCCCCTGTACTGCAGGGGTATGTGCTGTGAGGAGGCAGGCCGCCCAGCCGCGGGGTTGGGCCTGGGAGAACATCAGGCTTGGGGTCATGGGATTATACTGGAAACTTGAAACGTGTTGAAAGCTGGATCCTGGAAGTTCCCTACAAGTTTCCATCAGCCAGGTTTTTGAGATCAGCCAAAAGCACTGTGGGGAAGGGAGCGTAAAAGACAGAGCCTGCCTCAGAGGTCCCACCCAAGGACCCAGGAGTGCTAACGCCACATTCAGGGCAGAGAGCAGGCAGAACGTTTTTAATCCTGAGCTCCAGCTGGGAGTGTCCCTGCCCTTGTCAGGCCAAGCTGTGGGAAAGCCAGGTAGCTGACTGCTTCCAAAAAGGAGCTGTCACAGGCACTGGGTGCTGCTTTCCCGGCCAGGCCCACCCAGGTGAGAACACTGCATTAGTAATACAGGCAGCTGTGTTGGTGGGCAGTGGAGGCTCAGGCAGCGCGGGCTGGACGAAGCTGAATGGATTCCTCCGTAGTCTTCAGGGTCTATGGCACTCAGGCCGCCTGCATCTGCTTAGTAAAGGCGGCTTCCCGAAGAAAGGGAGCCCCCGGAAGAGCCAGTGGCCTGGTTTTGCAGTGCAGCGTGGCTGGACAGGCAGGATTAGAGGCGTTCTTTTCCCCTTCTGCCATTTTTCCGAAGAGTAAAAGTTGCAGTTAAGCATGTCTTAGCACGAGTTTGCATGGACCAGCCTTTGCATTTTGCCGTAACTCTAATCTCTCTTCATTTTATTTCAGTGGTTTATGTTTTGGCCTACTTCAGTAAATCGTTTTAATGCCAAGTAATAAAGGCAAACTGTATTTCATTGGGAGGGGAAAAAAAAAGCTTTATTCATGGCAGATTTTCCAATATGTGCCAAAATATCACTGTCAGAATATTTTATGTGTCTGTTCCAAAACAAACAATTAAAGAGCAATTTCAGTGGCAAATGGTAACAATAAAAACGAGATTAGCAATACACTAGTTTGACAATTATATTGTTTGAACAATTCTGGAGGAGAGCAGTTGAAGCAAGCTGCAGTAAATCTTTCAAGGCAACTGTTTCTTTACAAAAGAGTCTCTTTATGGGCCCTTGGATCCTAAAGGATTTGATCACCAAGGCACCAGCGCAGTACAGACTGGCAGCCACATGACATTGAAGGAGTATTTTCAATCCTGTGCATCCATCAGGCTTTTAAAACTACTTTGCTGCATTCTCACTGCAACCTATCTAATGTGAATTGGGTCCTAGGGTATATTAAAATGACAAGCTCCTTATAAGTTTATGAATCTGCATGCTTGTGTTCAGTATGCCATTAATAAGATTCTGCTATGCACTTGGGCATGCATTTCTAAACTAGAAAATGATTTGATTAAAATTGCAAAATGCTTGACTCAGGAAGATCCTGTCAAAGATATTCAAAGAGTGCTTATTGGATGCAGGAGATAAATCTGAGTCTTCAACTTGCATGCACACCTATTCAGG